CAGTCCTGGCCCCCCTCCCACCTCCCTGCTCTAACCACTGAACCCCACTCCCCTCCCAGAGACAGAGCCCAGGAGTCCTGGCTCCCCTCCCAGCTCCCTGCTCTAACCACTGAACCCCACTCCCCTCCCAGAGACAGAGCCCAGGAGTCCTGGCTCCCCTCCCAGCTCCCTGCTCTAACCACTGAACACCACTCCCCTCCCAGAGACAGAGCCCAGGAGTCCTGGCTCAGTGCAGACCCTGTAGCAGGATCAGGGGCACAGTCAGAATTTCTGTCATTTCTCACGCCAATGCACAATCTTTCAGCACGTCTACTGCAGTACAGTGCAAGTCTCAGCACTGCATCCGAAAACCTTCACACAGGCAGCCAGGCTAGTGTGTAGCAACCAACCAAGCGCCCCTTCCCCCTCCCGCCCCATAACCTATACTGGGCACTAAGCAATAATTACAAAAACAAAAATCAGCAGCCTGAGGGCAGAAACCTGAAGTGAATGAGGGAAAGAAGCCGCCTTGGGGACAGTTATGGGCCAGAGGCCCCAGGTAAGGTCAGAAAAAGGATCAGACCCAGGGTCCATCTCGTCCAGTATCCTGTTTCTGGTAATGGTGATCAGCACCAGATTCTTAGAGGAAGGTGCAGGAACCCCCCACATAGGCACACTGTGAAGGTCTCATCCCAACCCCTCTTCATTAGAGATGGTTTAAATCCTGAAGCACGAGGGTTTGCGTCTCCTCTAAAACTTTCATAGCATCAACTATCAACTCTGGACATTTCCACGTCAACGGTCAACCCCACATCCAATCTTAAGAAGTTCTTGACCTCAAAGACATCCTGTGGCGGGGAGTTCCACCGTTGAAGCATGGGTTGGGTGGAGAAGTATTTCCTTTTATCGGTGCGAATTTGCCACCTTTCAGCATAACCAGCCATCCCCCTTGCTCGCCTGTTCGGAGCCAGGGAGAAGAGACGCAGCCCAGTGGTTATTTTATACCCCTGTGTGCGGACCCCTTCTCTTCCTCCCCGCGCTAAGGTCGAGGATTCTTCCCACCCTGTCAAGCTCTCTTCCCGGGAGGGTGTTTTTCATGCCCCGATCACGCTCATCGCCCAGGCCAGGGTCCCAGGGGAGGTGCTGTTCCGGGCCGGGAGAGTCCATCTCTCCCTGCTCCGCCCGGTACCCCGGGGTGCAGACCTGGGCTCCCGGCCGGGCGCCCCATTGACCCGCCCGCCGCTGAGCTCCCGCAAACTCGCGACACGAGTGGGGGGAAGCAGCAGCCGAGGCCCCGCTGGAGCCAGGCCGGCCCAGGCCCCGTCTCTGCCCGGCCGCAGCCCTTTAATGCGGGGCGGGGCCGGGCTGGGACCCCGCCTACGGCCGCTCCGCCGCGCTCGGGCTCCAGCCTCATCGGGCCGGGACGGAAGTCAAAGGGCCGGAGCGGCCGGGCTGGGGACGCGGCTCCGCCCGGAAGCCTCGTGATCGCAGCGGGGCTGAGTAGGGGGCCCGGGGCGCGCAGGCCGGGGGGCGCGGGGGGCCTGGGGGAAGCTAAGGGGCGTGGGAGGGTCTGGGGAGCCCGGGCGCACGGGGGGGTCTGGGGAGCCCCTGGAGAGCCCGGGCGCACGGGGAGCCCCTGGAGAGCCCGGGCGCACGGGGGGTTTGGGGAGCCCCTGGGCGTACGGGGTGGGTCTGGGGAGCCCCTGGAGAGCCCGGGCGCACGGGGGGTTTGGGGAGCCCCTGGGCGCACGGGGTGGGTCTGGGGAGCCCCGGAGGAGCCCGGGCGCACGGGGAGCCCCCGGGGGAGTTAGGGGACGTGGGGGAGCCACTGGAGAGCCAGGGCGCACGAGGAACGCCTGAGGGAGTCAGGGCGCACAGGGGGAGCCCCTGGGGGAGTTAGGGGGCGTGTGGGGGGGGACTGGGGAGTCAGGGCATGTGGGGGGGGTTGGGGAGCCCCCAAGGAAGTCAGGGTGTACGGGAGTCTCAGGACCCTCAGGCAGTGGTGACAGCTTGGCAGCCAGGGCCCTCTCTGCCCCGCCTCATGCCGGCGGGGGCCGCGCCAGGCACCCCGAGATGAAGAGAGCCGGGGCGCTGCGGCAGGTCTCCGACTTCAGCGACTTCGTGAGTGGGCGACGCCTGCGGGAGCTGCTGAGCCAGCGTGGGCCGGGCGAGGCACCCCGCCACGTCCAAACCAGCCCGGATGGGCAGCACCTCCTGCTGCTCCTGCGCGGTCGGCCGGTGCTCCAGCCGCAGGTGCTCGCCTTCCAGCGCCTGGGCACCGGCGCAGGGGACCTGGAGAGGAGCTGGCAGCCGCCCCAGCCCCCCATCACGGGGCTGCTCTTCCTGCAGAGCCCCGCAGCGCTGACCTCCTGGGTGCTGGCCGTCGTCTGGGAGCAGGGCAGGACAGAGGTCTGGGGGTTCGTGCCAGCGCTGGGCTGGCAGCTGCAGCAGACCCTGGAGCTGTGCCATGGGGCCCGGGCTCGCATCGTTTCCATCTGCAGCCAGGGAAGCAGCCTGGTCTGGTGTGAGGAGAGGCCCCCCTCGGACGCTCATCTGGACCCAGGCAGGGGGGCCTTCAGGTACTGCATCTGCACCAGGGCTCTGGAGGTGGGGGAGCAGGGGGCGCACCTGGGCGCCATGAGGATAGTGGTGCACAATAGCCCCCAGTACCAAGTCCTGGCCTCACCCCAGCACGTCTTCCTGGTGCCCACCGGTGCCACCTTTGCCAGCGTCTCCACGTTCCTGCTTATCTGGTGCCCCCGGGAGGCTAAAGTCACCATTGTGGCCCCATCTGGCAGGTTCGTCCACAGTGAAGTCCTGCACTCCAGTGACTTCAAGAAGCTCGTGTTTGGGTCCGTGGGTCTCCTGCTGCCTGTGGCCCCTCTGGACATTCATACTTGTGCCCTGTCCAGCTGCGGGGGGCTTCTGGTGCTCAGCACACAAGGCACGGTGCATCTGGTTCAGCCAGACGGGACCTGGAGACACGTCTATGATCTGGGGGGCAGCGGCCTGGCCCAAGGAGACCCCGTGCCGCTGAAGGCCTTTGGCAGCACCCTGACCTGTGTGCTGGCGGGGGTCTTGTATCTCATTGACTTGACCAGTGGGAGGCTGATTGAGAAAAAACTCCTGAGCACCCGAGAGGTGCATTTCCTGGAGTCCCCAAGCAGGGAGGAGGAGATCCAGCTCCTCACCCCAACCGGTATCTATTGCTTCGGCTTCTCCAGCCCGGAGGAGGGCGGCAGGCCTGAGCCCACCCTGGTGGAGATGGTCTTTGAGGAAGCCTGCAAGTACTACCAAAGGCGGAGCCTCAGCAGCTCCCAGTTGACGGTGGAGAAGCTGAAGAAGGGGGACATGTTCCAGGCCCCCATTGCTCTCTCCTCCATCCTGCAGCACAGCCTCCCCCGTAAGGAGAGGGCAGCCAAAGGCCTCCCGGAGACCTACGCCAAACTGCTGAGCACGCTGAGCACGGATCTCCAGAGCTATCTGAGCCTGGAGCTTCTCAAGTCCTGCCTCGTGGGCGCTTCGGAGAGCGAAGTCGACAGGTGCTGCGAGGAGCTGGTGGAGCAGGAGGTCAGCCGCCTCCTGCGCTTGGACTTGGACAGGGAGAACCTGGCCTATCTGAACGCTGTCTTCAATTCCTTCCCCAAGGCCTCCTGGAAAGCCATCCGTAGCAGCCTGCAGCTGCAGCAGAATGGAGATGGGCTCTTGGTGGCCAGGGCCACCTCAGACCTCTGGAAGAAGGTCTTGGGGGGGCCAGTCCCGAACTGGTCCCAGCCGGAGGAGATGGGCCTCAACGGGGTGGTCCCGCTCTTCGAGCTCATCTGCGGCTCCCTGCACCGGTTCAAACCCAAGTGGCTGCCCAGCTTTGTGGAGCTGACCCAGCAATACGTTGGGGCCTCCTGGACGTACAGCACCAAAGAGGGCCCCGAGGGCGGGGTGCCCCTCTACAAGAGAGCACTGGCCGTTCTCGACAGGCAGCGCCTCCGCACGGCCAGCGACCGCGAGCTGGAGATCGAGCTGCTGCTGTGCAGCGCGCGGCCCAAAGCCGTCCTGCAAGCCGTGCAGCTGCTCATCCGCCTCCGCCGGTGGCAGCGGGTGGTGGAGGCGGCCGAGAAGTTTTCCAAGCTCAGCCCGCTGCTCAACAAGGAGATCTTCACCACCCTCCTGGCGCAGTTTGCCCAGCACAGGGACCTGGACCCGTACCTGGCCGCCCTGTGGGAGCTGTGCCCTGCAGACCTGACCGTCTCGGACATTCTCAGCATCGTCCTGCAGCACCTCCCCAGCTCGGAGGGCGACCCTGCTCCCTTCTGTGCCGGGGGGGCCCCGCTGACCCTGGCCTTGCTGAAGCCGCTGTTGCACAAGGTGGCGCAGCGCCAGTGCACTCAGGACGAACTCTATGCCGACAACTTGCAGGGCCCTCCCTTCCCACCGCCTGCCCCGCCGAGACAGCACAGGGCTGGCCCCAAGGCAGCCCCAGAAATGCTGCAGCCGGCGGGAGCGTGCAGGACTCCTTTCCCGGGCTGTAACCTGAGCGACGCTGTATGAAAAGCCGTGTGTACAGAATGGGAGCGAAAACCTAGCGAGCGGGGGTAGGGGCAGCAAACGCCAGCCCCCCCCCCCCACTTCCAAAGGCAGAGACCAACTCTAGTTACACCTTCCTGCCTCAAACAACCTCCTGAGGGAGTGCACGGTGCATGAGTCAGCGGGGGGAGGATCACTGGGGTGACTGGGGGGGGTTTACAGCTGAGGCATTTCCCCAGCGAAGGAGCGGTGTGTGAGAGCAAGAGAGAGCACTGACTGCACGGGAGAGCCCCCTCTCCTGGCCTTTGAGCTAAACGCTGGCTTCCCGCCCTCTAGAAATGGAGCCTGGGGGATAAAGTACAAAGTCTTAACCCAAATTCCCGTTTCGTTTGTCCTGTGACTTGCCCACGGCCAGGCTGTTTAGGACCAGGCACGCCCCTTCGCAGCACGGGATCACGGGGGATGAACCTGCTCACGCGGGCACTGCTGGCCTGGACCCAGTCTCTAAAACCTCCCCACTGGGGCTATGTCCTGCTCCTGGGACCTCTGCCTGGGCCTCCAAGGATGGAGGTGTCCCTGAGCCGTCTGTTTACCACCTTGCTAGTTTGTCCCTCCCCCATGGGATCAGCTGCCCTGGGTGGGGGAATGGCCGATCCCCTTATGAAACCACAGCAAAGGAGCGAGCTCCGTCTGCATCCCAGCCTGGCCTAAAACCGACCGTGCGAGCGCTGCCCTGCTCGGGCTTAGGCCTGGGGCCGGCAGCTTGGCCCCGGCTGTCCCCTTCCTGTTGTGTCTGTCGCGCAGGAGGCAAACTTAGACCTGGCCTGTCCTTTTCTGTTCCCAGCCCTTCTACCTTTGCCCTGGGCTCTAACCTTATCTCAGCCTTCTGAGAAACAAAAGATGCCGTGTCCGGGCTGTCTGGTCCTTCCCCGGCCTGCCCCCCTCTCCTTTGCTGGCTAAGTCAGGGTACAGGGGTCTGGTCCCGCTCCTGCCCAGGTTCCTTCTCTCCCGGGGGGATGCCAGACACTGGTAGGCTCGGGGCACGGCTGGCTGGAGGGGTGAGTGACTGGAGACCTGGCCGCGCTCACAGCCCCTGTTTGAGGCTGGGCTGGGGGAAGCGCGTCTGGTTTGCTCCTCCCCAGGGGGGTTGTTTTTTAAGTGTGTGAGGAAACATTTTAAAGAAACCTAAACTGCCCGAGGGTTCGTTTTAAACGTGAAGGGTCCTGGGGCGGTGCTTGGTTTAACGGCAGCTGAGCGTGGCCGTGCACCTATTTAAGCGGGGAGAGGGGGCCTGGCTCTCTGGGTGCGGAGCCCCGGGGGCTCCCACGTGCTCCAGCTGGGGTCGGCCGCGCTCAGCCCTGCTGACTGACTGCACAGGCTGGGAGCATGCACAAGGGTTTGTGTGGGTCAGCGTGAGGTGGGGGCTGCCGGCCGGCCGGTTTCTGGAGGAGGGAGGCATGGGGAGCTGGCTGGAGCAAACGCCTCCAGCCCAGATCCCCACCGGTGGCGCTGTCCGCGCTCTGGGCACCCCAGGTAACCGCCGGCAGCTTGTCGGGCGCTAGCCCTTGGCCAGGGAGGAGTTTTCCTGAGGGCTGCATGTGTCCCACCAGCAGGCACAAGGAGGGCACTGGATGGTGCTTCAGCCAGTCTCCACCCCCCAGGGCCCAGCTGCAGTGGGTCAGGGCAGGCAAGGGGCAGAGCCTGTGCTGCATCAGCTGCTCCCTCTCCTGGCTCGCTCGCCCCACTGCTCTCCTGTGCCTTCCTCTGGGCTCTGCCCCCTCCCTTCCAGCAGGGCCTTGCCCCCGGAGCTCCTGCCACCCAACAGCCAGAAATCGAGTCGACTCGACAAAGGCTCTGAGCCGCCTCTCCCTTCCACTGGGGGGAGGGGGTCGCTGCGGCCAGCTCCACCCCAGACGGAGCCGGGAGGTCGCACGGGTCGGGTGCAATCAGCTAGATTCCAGTGCTGGGCTCCCTGGGGTTGCCGGGTCTAGGGGCAGCCCCTGCAGGCTGTCAGCTGTGCTCAGGCGTTGGGCTGGCAGGGGGCTATTTATAGGTCGTGGGGAGGGGAGGTGTCTTTGTGACTGCCCGTCCCCCTCTGTGCAGGGGTCTAGCACAGAGCCCGTCTGTGGGGCAGCCCCCTAAGCTGTAGAGCTGCCTGCGGGTCCCTGGTCCCGTCTGCGGTAAAGCTCAGGAGTGGGAGGTGGGTGCTTTGGGGCTTGTCTCCACCAGAGCCCTTCACCTTGACTTACCTGATCCCATGGGTGAGCCCATTAAACCAAGGGCTCAAGCCGTAGTGTAGACGGCTCTCTGGGGTGGAGGAGGCAGTGCGGGGCCTGGCAGCCGTGTGACTTCCAAAACAGAGAGGAGCTGTACCTGCCAAGCCCCTTCTGCCCCCATTACTGTGCCTTACGCCCCAGGCCCTGGAGCACGAAGGGGCTTTGCTACCTCGGGCAGCTGCTGGGCCGGCGACTGCAGCCGCTCCCTGGCCGAGTGAAGCTGGTGGTGTAAGGGGTGGGGGGTCGGGGAAGGGGCTGCTCCGGGGACCAGCTCAGCTCCCTGCCTACCCAGCTGCCGCTGCGGGGCGGCCAGCAGGCCCTCCCTCTGCTAGATTTCCAGCAAGTGTCATTAAACCGCCGCTGGCAAACATCGCTCTCCGGCGAGAGAAAAGAGTTTGAGGCTGAATTGGGCGGATCTGTTTGCACAAGGGAGGAGTCTTAATGCAATTGTTGGCTTTGCATGCCACTGTCCAGTTGCTGTTGTCCTGTATGCAATATTAAAAGGTGTTTAACGAGCGACCGTCCATCTCCTGTCTTGCCCTGGCTGCGGGCCCTTGGGTGCAGGCTCGCTCGGCTGGCAGCTGCTGCCGTGGCTGTAGGAGGAGGCCGGGGGCTTTTCAGCGAAGAGCGGCCGACCCCCTCCTGCCTGTGCTGCTGTGGAAAGTCCCTGTAGCGGGCGGCATACCCGTGTGCAAACGCCTCGCTGGGCCTGGGGAAGAGGAACTGCTGATGCCGTTAACAATCTGGTTGGCTTGTTATCAATGCAGCTTTGTTCCCGCTGCAGCCCAGCAGGGCAGCTGCCTGGCTCTGTGGCAGAGAGGGGAAGTGGGGCACGTTCTGCCTCACTCTGCTCCGGTGAGCCGGGCGCAGCGCTCCAACGGGCTGTGCAGCAGTGCCCAGCGGCCCAGCTCAGCACGGGGGCCGGGACTCACTGCCGCCGGCTGCCCCTCGCGCTGGGCGCTGCAGGGGCCATGGGGTGGGGCGCAGCAGCTGGGGGAGGGAGGCTGATCTTAAGCCGTTGTTTAGGACAGGAAGTGAAGGAAACAGCTGAGGGAAGTGTAAGTGGACAAAATCGAGTGGCCTGAGCAGGCCGGTCAGGCAATGCCTTTGGGTGCACGCCAGGCTTGGTGATGGGCTGGCCCCAGTTTAGGGTTTCAGCGGAAACAGAGCCCCCGGCCCGTAGAGCTTTAGGCCAGCAGGGACCATCGGCTCCTCTGGTCCGACCCCCTGCTTAGCACGGGCTGTTGCATTTACCCAGACGCCCCTGTCCTGAGCCCACACCAGCATTTCAGTCCTTAGGAAACTGCTGGGTCGGCGGCAGAGACCGTGGGGAGCTGAGGCCCCTGCTCGCTGGTGACCTGGGCTCCAGGCTGCACAGGAAGGTAACCCCCCCCCCCCCCCAATTCCCTGGCAATGTGAGCTGGCCAGGCTCCTGGCCTGTAGCTATAGTAGGGCACAGCCTTGCCCATCTGGATTTGGGGGGGGCCCAGAACACCCCCATGAGGGGAGGGGTGAATAGCTAGAGCTCTGCATTGCCCTCTGGCCCCAGCCGTGGACTGGGCCAGCGGGGACGAGGACGCAGGTGCCCTAGACTGGCCTGGCTTCAGTTGGGGCAGAGCTGTTGGGACTTTCATAGAATCTCAGGGTTGGAAGGGACCTCAGGAGGTAGCTAGTCCAGCCCCCTGCTCAAAGCAGGACCAATTCCCAACTAAATCATCCCAGCCAGGGCTTTGTCAAGCCGGGCCTTAAAAACCTCCAAGGAAGGAGACTCCACCACCTCCCTAGGTAACGCATTCCAGTGCTTCACCACCCTCCTCGTGAAATAGTGTTTCCTAATATCCAACCTAGACCTCCCCCACTGCAACTTGAGACCATTGCTCCTTGTTCTTTAACCTGCTTGTTGGCTGGTGTCCACCTTCCTCCCGCACCGCCTGTGACGCCCTCTGGTTCTGGGCCCGAACCCAAGCTGCAGTCGCATGTGGAGCCGCCTGGGGCTAGCTGGAGCTGTGCCCAAGGGCCCTTGCTCTCCGCCCGCCCTCAGCAGGGAGACAGACCAACGTCCTTCAGGCAGTTCTCTGATCCCAAGGCTCCCACATTGCTTGGCCCACTGCTGTCATGCAGCCCCCTCTGAAGCGGCTCAGGGCAGCTGTTTAACAAGGTACACAACAGTCTGGGACAAGAAGTGAAGAATACTGCAGCTAGATGAAGGGGGGGTGTCCAGGTGGGTGAGGCAAGCCGAGAGCAGGGCATGGGGCAAGCGAGACGGGCCTGCCAACACTACACAGGTGGAGCTTGGGTTTGCTGCTGAAACTCCAGGAAGGGAAGTCGGGACGTGGCCTGTGAGCTAATCAGCATCCTCTGCTGCTCCTGGGTCTAAATTACCTGGAGCCAGGCAGGGAGGTGGCCTGGGACTGTGGCAGTCCCCTGGGCACGCTGGCTGGGGCGGGCGAGCTCTGGTTACCGGGCAGTGACGGGTTGGGGGCTGGCGGCCAGTGGGATCCACACCCCAGAGACGGGGTCCTCTCCCCACTGCCCCTTACTGGGTCATGCCCAGTGCAGGAAGAGAGGCCGGGTGCAGGGAGAGAGCTTATCGTCAGCCCAGCGGACCCAGTTCTCCCTGGCACCTGCCTCCAAGGGCCTCCTCCTCTTACAGCTTCGGCCTCCCGCGCCCTGCCACTGGCGGAGCTGGGCCGGCCCGAAGCCCTCAGCACCCTGGCTGATCCCACCACGCCAGAGCCCAGCCAGGGAGAGGCCCGTGCAGGCTGCCGGGGGCTGCAATAGGGTTTCCATGTCCTGGGGGCAGGGCTCTGCCCCCCACGTCAGGCCAGGGAGGCTCAGCAGGGGGGCTGAAACTCCTGAAGCTGGGCAGGGGTGTCCCCAAGGCGGCTTTGGGGCTGGGCACTGTTAGCGAGAATCCCCCAAGGGCCCCCTCGCCCGGCCCCTCCAAGCCAGGGCAGCTGGCCCCTTGGCTCCGTGGGGCTGGGGAATTCCTGCCTGCAGGGGGAGAGTCCAATGGGCCGGACGCTGCTCCTGGATCTGCTGAAGCCAGAGCCACTTGCTTGGGGTCCCTGGTGCACGGACGGGTGCCAGAGAGACAGACTGGCCCTGCCCCCCACTGGGACTAAGGCCTCACCCGCCCCAGCCGCAGCCCTTCGCCTGGCCCTTCCCGGGGCTGTTTCTGAGGAAAGGGAGGAACGCTGCCAGGGGCCTCCGGACACATGGGCCCCACAGCTCGGGCTAGAACAAGCCATGACTCCAGCAGTGGGGGTCCTCCCAGCTGGGTCCTGCTCGGTCAGCCCCTGCTGCGTCAGTCACCCGGGGCCAGACCCGGGCCAGGCCCTGTGAACTGGAGGCCGGCAGAGCGCAAGTGAAGGGCAGCTCTGGGGCCCACCGGTTGCTGTGGTTTCACGACCACATTTTCCTCTTTTTCAAGCTGCTTGTCCCTCCTCCATTGCGGTGGGACCCTCCCCCACCAAAAGCGGAATATGCCACACACACACCCCGAGGAACCCACGTACACCCCTTGGGGCTGCCAGCTGCACTGGGGGGGGGTGTCCCGGCTTGGGGCCACGTAGGGTGACCAGCTAGCAAGTGTAAAAAATCGGGACAGGGGGAGGAGGGTAATAGCTGCCTATATAAGAAAAAGCCCCCAAAATTGGGACTGTCCCTATAAAATCGGGACGTCTGGTCACCCTAGGGCCACGGCGGCGTTACCGCTGCCAAACGCAGGCACAACCCTCTGCGCCCGGCGCCACAGCCCAGCTGTGCCTGGGAGCGGGAAAGCGGCTGGGGGAGCCACTCCAAAGAAGGGACCCAGCACCCCCGCCAGGAGGCAGCCGGGCACCAGCTTCGGCAGCGGCTGCCTGTTGTTGCTGACACCAGGGTCTCCATTGCCCCAGCAAGGGCTGGCCCCGAGCCGTGCCCCCGCCCCCCTCCAGGGACCCTGCTTCCAACGCTCGGGGCCAGGCCTCACCCTGCCACTGACCCAGCGCAGCCGTGTGTGACGAACTGGGCCTGTTCTCACTGTGGTCTGTGAATGCTGACAGGGGAGTGTGCTGGGATAGTCTGCATTGGAGGATGGGATCTGCCCGGGGGCGCATTCCTGGGTGTGTAACATGAGAACCCAGGAAGGGGTTGAAGGCCAGGTGACTCCTGAGCCCGGGAAACTGAACAAAGGCTGTGGGAGGGGTCGCTGAAGGGAGAGTGCTGGTAGCGAGCTGGAGAGATGGCTGGGAGACAGAGATGGCTCTGACCCCCCCCCCGAAGGGGGGGGGGCGGGAAGGCCCGGGGG